CGAAAAGCAAACGCCGTCGGCCCATACCTATACACGGCTGACTACTGCAGCTGGATACGCGTTATAATAATACGACCTAAGAGTTCTCCGGCGATGGCCATCGGAGGTCGACATTTTTCGGATTCTCCGTCAAATCCGCGAGCGGCTCGCGCTCGCGCTCGTACGCTCACGGGCGGGCGGGCGGGGGCGAGGGTGAGGCGAATATAGACGGCGAAGGTTGAATTTATACAATTTTTTTTTTTTATATTTATTTCGTCGCTTTTTTCCTATACGCCGAAGCCAGTATTCTTTGTGCCGCAGTGAGAGTCTCCGGTCGCGTTCCCTCTCTGCAGCCCGTCATCGCGCGTAGTGCCGTCGTCGTCATAGTTGTCGTAGTCGTCTGCGGAATGCGGTCCTCCGAAAATGGTCAACCCGTGTGCGTATATTATATATTATATACGTCATATACGCGTATTTATACAGATGCCTGCACTGCACGGTCGGATGCTGCTGCAGGATTCAAGAGCTCACCAAACGAATGGCGATTGGCGATGAGAGGGGGAAATTGAGTATAAAACACAAACATATATACATATTATATAAAGTGAGTAAAGTATATAACTCTCGGGACGATGACAGGCAAGACGGGTGGACATGACCAAGCGGGCCGTGGGGGTACCTACCGCGAAAACTAAAATAAAAAACAGACGAGGACAGACGACCTTATGCTATTTTGTGTTTTGCATTTTTGCGCGCAGACAACCTCGGCAAATTAGTACAGTCGGCCGCTGGCCTGTTATTAGCGTCGCGGAAATAAGGTCGCGCCGCTCGATTCGTACACACAGGCACGCTGCAATATTACCAAAAACTATAAGTGTATTATTATGACGAAAAAATTTTCGGCACGGCATTCGGCCATCGATCAATCGTTTTAACCGTCGATACCCGATCGCATTCATTACCTATAATATTGTTATATAACCTGGCCAGCCCCCGCCGCCCAGCAGCAATCAGCTCCCGCAGCGGCTCCCGCGATGATGTAAGAGTTTATAATAATATATTATTATGATTATTAAACGATCTGTGTAGATCTATACGGGGTCTGAATAAGTGGAATAGGCATAAGGCAATTGTCTGGAACCTCGGATTTTTCAAAGCACCAAATATTATAAATTCCAGTATGTCTTATAAACGTGCAACATTCAAATTTGCATCCAGTAGATCCAAATTACGTTACTACTACTATTTTCAAGTTGAATTATTTGATATGTATTTTGATATTACTCGTTCAAAAATTGAAGTGTCGTAAAAAATATGTATTCTTAGTTCTTACCATTAAATTTGATTAAATAGGTCAGTTATACTCCAATATTGATAGCCGACAACATAAAATCGGTCCTGCTGAACGCAAAAACCTTTTATAAAATGAAGACGGACTGTATTTGTATGTTTCAATTATTTGTAGAATATATAAGTAATACACTAGTACTTTTCGGTATTATAAACTGCTGTGTCATATATTACGTACAACTATGATGGATGAGCGTCGTTTTATATGCACAAGTTTATAAAAAAAATAAGAAACGTCATAGAATATGATTATCGTGTACAGATAAAACCAGTGACTTAAGGTGCATGTTTCTGCTTAATCCTGTCCTGGAGATCTACCTGCAGTTAAGCAGTTTAAACGAAACACTGATGCTGTGCAGATTTTCTAACTTTACTCATTATTATCTCAACCAAAATCTGATCATATCGTTTGCGTAATTCCATTCAGTCTAACTTAAAAATATTAATTTTAGTTGAATCTTCTTCGGATGACCCTGGCAGAAGATTAAAGCGTAGCTGGTGACGTGACTTGCTAGTCAACTAGTAACCACTACTATACCCACGTCATGAACTACTATTATTGAATAGTCTCTCCAATCAAGCCAACCAAGCTCTCTTGTGTATCTCTCCATCTATTGTGAGTATTGTAAAAATATTTTATACAGATTGTACATATCAAATGTATGACGAAAAAAAGTTGAATATTGAGAATTGCAAATTTGCACGTTCAGTAAAACCTCCTTATAACGGAATCTCTACTGATATTTCGGTTATTAAGAAGTTTCTGTTCTAGGGAAACTGAAATACATGGGATCTAGGTTATACAGGAGTCAGCATCGTTGTTAGGTCCGTTGAAAGGCGATTTCCGTCTTATACATAGATGGCCTGTTACGTGCAAAGAGGTCTTATAGGGCAAATGTGTTGATTTATTTATTAATAAAACGATAAGACGTAATAATATTTTGTAAATACTCGTACTTATTTCAATATTTGTATTTCGTTCAGGAAATTGTAGTCGTTGTAATATAGGTAAAGATAATGACATGTATTAAAACAATACACTTTAGATGTTATAGGTGCAAAACGTTAGACTTGTTGACTGATATTCTTCGGCAAATAGCAGGTCGTGTGACGTCTGGACTTCGTGGTGACTTTATGGTCGGGACGAGTGCAATTTTATTGCCCCGAAAGTTACATTTTTTCCGTCCCGAGTGCAGTTTCAAGGGTAAATGAGTGCCATTCGATCGCGCAAAGCCACTGCTATTAACACAATATTATTATACAGGTCGGACCGTCGACGGTGTCATAACGATAGCGCCTCCGCGACTGGAACGGAAGCGTAATCGATCTCTTTACGACGCACCACCGCGTCATTTCCGTCGACGTTCATAAAAATAATAGTAATCATAATATAGCACAACAACAATACGCGTATAATATATAATAATAATAATAATAATAATAATAATATAATATGTTGTATACCCCCGCGGGACCTCGGTTCTTCCGAGCCGATTTCACAGCCATACCGGAGCCACCCACTACATTAATATTATATTCGATTTATTTCTATAGACGCGTAAACCGGATCCCTGTAGTCGGGCAAATAAAGGAATATAATAATAATATTATGAACGAACAATACGCCACGGGCTTTTTTTCGCGTCTCGTATAATATTATATAATAATAGTAATACAAGAATATTTACCTACCTATATAATATTATAATATATTATACGCGCACGGCGGCGGTTATTTACGAGTTCTTTGAGATTTTATTCCCCCTTATACCTGGAAAACAATAGAATTTAACTTTACTGTTTAACTCGCGAACTCGTGATACCGCGCACAGTGACGCGCAGTTATACATTATTTAATCATTTGTACTAAAATACAGCTACATTATCAACATTTAATCGAGATATTTTATACGCTTAAAATTATTCAGAATGTCCAGCGGTTTTTATTATTTAATTCGTATCATATTATATTGTATTATTGAACATCCAAATTCATATGTTGGTATATATGTATAAGTTATAACTGTTTATTATATACAGGGTGATACAACGGCAAGCAGGTTCATCACTTTTTTTTTCATTTAAGTAGTTATTATAAATCTGGTTTTTTGGAATTTGTAAACTTAAATACCATATTTTATACCTAAGGACTGTCCAGTCAAGTGAATTTATTTTAATTATAGGTCCAAGAATAATGGGTTTGTAAGATATGGGGCCTATGGCTTGATTATTATTAATCAACATTTATAATTTGTAAAAATAGTCCAAGTATAATAAATATTAGTTCCAATATTACGTCCATTTTCTACATTCGTAAAATCATTTTTAAGGACTACAGTCCTCAGTATAAACATTTTAATGACTGAGAAACTAATCAATGGAAATTTGAAACAGGTCAATCAAAATTACCAAATAATTATCCACTAAATAATTTACTGTTAAAAGGGTGATTTCCGTTTGAAAAAAAAGAAACTTTTATTTCCACAGCACACTTATCCGATAGAAACAAATCTCAAAAATGTACATATTTGGTCTTGATAATATTTAAAAATTCCAAAAGTCAGAGTCATTCTGAATAAATTTGTCATTAAAGGTTAGGGGGTAAAATGGCGATGAATCGACCCTGCAGTAATAGATACTGCCCTGTCATATATGTGACTTTCACCTTGGAGGACAACATCTTTGGAATGACCTATGTCATAGATCGGAATCGCCGCTCATCCAATTCTAGTAAAATTCAATAGAATTTTAAACTTAATAAAGTCTTAAATAATATTGTTTAAATGTTTGTTTATTTGCGGCGCTAGTACCTTCATTATAATATAAGACGAATATTAATGCTTTTAGGTTTACTCCTTTATACTTGTCAAATTGTTTTTTAAAATACACATTAAATTATGTTATTTAAGACGGAAAAAACGTCAGTATATTACCCTGCTGGTATTCGGTATACGGACAAAAGAACGTTAAATGTGTTCCGCTTTTTGGGATTCTGTTGAAAATTAATTTAAATACAATGAAGTTAATACATAAAAAAAAAAACCAAACAAATTGTGTGTAAGAACAATAGCAATAATAGTATATATACACATATATATTATATATATACAATAGTTATTGTCATAATGTTTAAATTATATTTTTTAAGCTTAAAAATAATATTAGGAAGAGAATATTTTTCAAAGATTTATGTGCTTTCGTTGTCGTACCTATATATTGTGTATACCTGGTATAGTATATTATGTTAATCTTTGCGCGGAAATACCGAGTGCGGTATAAAAGAGCCGGGAAAAAATCGAGACGATTTGCTTCTCTTGGCCGCGCATATACGTAACAATTCGATTTTGAAATCGTACGGCAGTTTCTCCTCATTTTTCTTTCTCTCCTCGGGCGTTATATTCTAATCACATCCGAAACGTAGCTGGAAAACGCACACACTCGTTTAGTCTCCCATATATTTATATACGACGTACCTATGTGTACAGAGCGTTTACCTATGCACACCGTCCCACGTACGAACCCTCAGACTGGCGGACGTGACTACCGACTGGGTATATAGTTTAATATGTATAACCGGGAAATAAACACACACACACACATATATATATACATACAGGGTGATTATTTAATCGTAAACAGGACGACAACTTATCCGGAAAAAACGTTGAATATTTCAATTTTCAATCGATATTATTTATTTCAAAGAATTTATGTTTAGTAAGTAACTATATTTGTATGTCTCTCTGCTGCTGCTGCAATCAGTGGTTTTAAACAACCGAATGTGTACCACGGTATACTGCTGCGGGCCCGCTCCGAGCATCCTCTGAAGGTGGTTCGCCTTGAGCTTTTGAAAGTTTTCACTCTTGATGAGTCATCTATAATAAAATATTTATAAATCAATAATAACACTATAAAGTGTATTAACATTTTGTCCATCATAATCAGAAAACAAATTACGGCTTTGCGAACCATCACGAACCATAAAAAATGTTTCGTATTTTCAAACATAACATTATCCTTCAGGCAAAATACGACAATCATCCTGTACGTAGTATTGTAGGTAGGTACATACATACCGTTTGTCGCGTGTGTGCTATATATAGGTAGTGCGCAATAATGTATAATCTCGAGTGTGACTGTTGTAGTGGGGAGTAGGTATATGTTTTATCGTTTGTATATGTGCCTGTATAGAATATGTATATAAATCCTCGTCAAAGTCCACCTACGAACGTTACTGGAACCTAAGGATTATTATAGTAATATATTCGACTAAACGTCTTTCGTTTGTTTGAGAGGTTTGAATCTGCAGCAATGACAAAAACTGCAGTTTTCTAAAAAATGACTGCGTTGAATAAATCGAACTTATGTAATAGTCTTCTAATTGTACAGGTTTTGTGGAGGCACAAGAGGTACCTAAACTATATTTTAATGACGATAAATCTCAACGAAATAGTTGAGAATAGGTATTTCTTGTCGTATCGTTATCGTAGGAAGATTTTTTTAATTTATCCTATCTTTGTCAGTTGTCTCGTCATTCTAGTTTACTAATTATTCTAACCTACCGTATTGTATCGAATTGGATTTGCTCTAAAATAACATTTTAGAGATAGGAATGTACGGTTTACAGAACTTGCAGGATCTGACGTAGCCGCTTTCGATGAAATGATTTATTTTCAATTTATCAATATCGTCGGCCATCATTTCCAAATCATAATATATATGTCATTGGAAATGATGATGATATTAGGCATTGTCAAGAATGACTAAACAAAATGAAATAGACTTTTCTAAGTAGAAACTGATCCTTGTTATTTTGATAGTGCCCAATATTGATTACAGGAATAATATTAATATGATCAATGGCTGATGCTCTTTAGGCAATATAATAGTAAAGGGATAATTTATTTTTCATTCAACTAAATTACTCGTCATTCAAACTTATTTTTACACGGCAAACCACTATATACAGCATTTCGAGTTACATATTGTATTACTATAGAATGACAAATACATTAGTCTTTTATTTAATTTCGAAATGCCATTTTTTCAATGATACTATTATATAAATGCTCCGCTTTTGGAAAAAGTTATTTAATTTTGTTGGACCCGTTTTAAAAAAGTTTTAACCTTAAAACACAATGCATCACAACACGTGAAACTGTGAAAGTCTATAAAGTAATTACAAATTGTACAGAATATATATACGAAATATAAACATTATATTATACAGGCATGTGGTAGAGCGGTCCAGGCGAGTTAATACTCTATATCGCATTAAAGATAATTATAATTGTATAAAAATCTCACAGAAACATTCGTATGGCTGTCACTAATTAATACAACATTTTCAACTATAGATTGGACGATTTACATAGTATTCCTATAGGCATTATCGTTTATAGTATTATATAAGAATTCCTAATTAACTAGGACGAAATAAACGATACATTTTACACAACCGTAGGCATTTTAGACTTTTCTTTTCCCGGGAAATGTTGTTATTTCCTGAATTATCATCATTACAGCCTGTAAAATATTACAACATAAAAAGTGACGCTCTTTGGAAAATCGCTTTGGAATACACCAGCTATACCATTGTACTGTTGTGCGTTGTGCCGTCGGTGAAATTTATTTTTAAAACTACTCGGAAGCTGTTTAATGTCTAAAGTTAGGTATATGTATATATAGAGCTACAAACAGATGATTCGGAGTTTAATGTTTTGAGTTTCGTTCGGTCGGTGTCACGCAGTCGTTAAAATATAAAGTCGATGCGTATTCGTGGTAAATATAAAAGCCGTATATATAGGTACACATAATGTGTGTGGAAAAATCGTTCGTACTTATACCTATTATATGTACAGTGTAATAATTTAGAATTTAGTTAAGTTCGCAAGTGTAGATAATTAGACCATATTCATTTGAGTTGGTACTTACATAATATACTCCAATACGCGCCAATGCACACTATACAGTATATAAGAGAATCTGCGTTCGCCTAACCATCATTAGGTCTAGTTTAGCATAGGCGTAGCGTGATGATTTTTTTTGGGGGGGCTATAGCCTTTTTTTTTTGTGGTATCAACGACGCTGCCGAAACTGCTTGCGAATCACNTGGTACTTACATAATATACTCCAATACGCGCCAATGCACACTATACAGTATATAAGAGAATCTGCGTTCGCCTAACCATCATTAGGTCTAGTTTAGGTACATCCACAGTAATGATTAAAACGAGAGTCAGACACAAAATATCTTGTTTTTATCACAAAAAAATCGCTTTAGACGAATAATTTCCGTTAAAAAAAAGCGCGTTATCAAAACTCCTAACCTTTTGTACTAAACGGTTAAAAATGCGCGTGTTACTCCAGCGAAATTTTGGTTTGCTAACTTAGAGGTCGTGCTGTTTAATCAATATACAATGTATTATATTAAATTATTTATAATATTATCATTACTACAATAGCATGAAATATCTCGTTATTGAATATAATAATTATAATGACGATATGATTCTTGTGATGGACTTCGTTTCTCCGACACCATCACACACGCCTTTCTCGTTAAAACAACGTAGTTAGGGTCGAACAGTTATGAGTCGGAAACGTCGCAAAATTGGTTTGTTCAAGAAATTGCAGTTTCAAACGAAACCTCTGTATACTATTACTATAGGAAGCATTTCCCCCACTACTCCATAGCCTCTATATGAGTATAGCGAAAATGCGGTGACACTCATATAAGTCATCCTTAACATATAATATTCTGTTGTAAAGGGTTCTCGGTGACGCGCGTTTTCGAAATAAGATACCTCCTCGGTTCTACCTCGAGAGTTTTGCCGAACACATCGAAACGCGGTCACGTTGCTATAATGACTATCGGTGCCGTGGCCGGGGAGGGCACTGATGGAACGTGCCCCCTCTTCTGCAAAATTGCATTTTATTTTGCGAGCCTTACTACTATTATACAAGGTGAATCTATGGCGAATTATTTCTATGTGTGTGTTTCATATTTAAGTGGTTACCTAGTAATACGCACCACAATCACAATTATGTGGTTCTGGTTACAGCACACAGCCATAGCCACCTGCAGACTATTATTAAAGCCTGACGTTTCAGTCGTGTTAACTAGTCACGTGCAGAGTATAACAAAATAGTACGTCAATTGGATGATAAATTATAATAAAATGTGTCATAAAGGAACATTTTTCAGGGTGGCCTTTGATGACTTGAGGTTTTCCTGTGTTGGTCAAACGAGAAAAAGTAGGGAAAAGACTCCGTGTACGCTGGTTCCTGTAAAATGCGAAACTAAATGTGTTTACATTTTTATGAAAGACAAAAGTATATTCTGAGTTATTCACTAAGCATTCTCACATGCGTTTCTTAATTTTTTAATTTATTCATTCAAATTTGGTTTTTGGAATTTTTAAATAAACGTAAAGACCATAATATTTTCGAATTCTTGAGATTTTATAACGACACCTATTTATGTACTGTGGTGATTAACAATTATTTTTTTCAAATGAAACACTCCTATTTTACTGTTAACTATTAAGTGGATTAATATTTTTGAAAAATGTTGTTGTACGAGTACGATTTACCAAATTCAAAATTCTAACTAGTAGTTTTTCGGTTATAAAACGGATAATAGTCCTTAAAAAATGTTTTAAAAAAATATAAAATAGATAAAATATTATATTTAGTATACTAAAACCATTTTTTTTTAAATTATGAACGTTCGATTTTGATACCTGCGTCAAATTTTTCATTAAAAATATCTGCAAAATAATTTACATTTTAGAAGGGTGTCTATCATTTGAAAAATAGCAGTTTGGCTTCACACCGAGGAGTCCATGACAAAATACGTCATAATTTTCAGTATTTAGAAAGTCGGCATTTAAAAAAAAAAAACCAAAAGTTTGTATATCTACAGTTCACTCCTTAAGTAGTATAAATAATCTGAAGGTTTGATTTATTTAAAAATTCCAAAAATTGGATTTTAAATAACTGCTTTATTGAATTAGAAATTGGGCGATCATGTTTGGCCAATCGTCCTGTGTATAAATATTATTATAGAACCGTAAAATAACAATTTTTATACTGGTAAGACCAGTGTGTATTTGTTCATCGTATTTTGGCATTAGGTCATTTGAAATTTAGATTATTTTCTTACGTTAAAGGCAAAACGAGTTTCTTAATTATTACACGTTCGTAATTAATCTATTATTAAGACATTATTGGGTACCCCTGTCAATCACGATAGTCGTTAAAAGAGTTTTTTATTTTTAAAATTCCAGTAATTGTAAGTTTGACCCACCACAGGTCGGCGACCTGCCATTGAAATATACAAATCTGTGAAAAATACTTATCAATGTCAAACGTGTTGTAGGTTATTTTGAATCGACTAAAATTACTATCCTTATTTCTGCCATTCCTATTTAAATAGAATATATGTAAAGTTTAGAAATGAGTTTCATTAATTTTATATGATTTTCTGAGACGATAATTAATTTATTATCTACCTATTATGATACCACATCTGTGAAATATTTGTAACTGATTGGTTGGTCGCTCACAACTTTTAACACCCAACAGTCGATAATTGATTTATCACGAGTGTGGCGGACTTTCTTTCCAATGTGTACAGGTATTATATGCTATTTTCATGTCATTATATTGCATGCTTATGCCGTATTCAAAAAAATGATATTATTGCTATTATTCAAAACACAATAATATGCAATATAGTTGCAAAAACTTTCCACGGTTTTGTAACAAATAATTATTGTTCACGGTAGAAGAACAAACCAGTTTGGTAGCTTTTTCGTGTTTCTCCGAAATGCTCTCCCAACCCTACCACTCGAAGAACTCCGAATTTTGA